ATCCAGAAGCCGACGACTGATCTGCCTCACCCGGGAAGAGCACAATGATGGTGCCAACTTGGGCCAGTGAAGCAACGTCCTCCACAACTAGACTGAGGAACAGGAGGATAGCGGCTTATCTGTTCCCCTTCCCCCAATTCCCCAATAAAAAATCTTTAAAAATAAATAAATAAATAAATAAAATAATAAATAAATGTACTGAGATGGAAAGAACTCAGACACTAAATGAAAATAAACCGTGGAATACATAATTATGGTATCATTTTTATGTTTAAGAGAAAAAAAGTGACTGTGTCATACTCTTGCTTAAAAACTCCATGGCTCCCCACTGCCAACTAAGTGAAGTTCAAGCTCCTTACCTGGCATGCAAGTCCCTTCACTATTCAGGCCCTGCCAACCTCTCCAGCCTCATCTACAGACCAGCCTTGTCATCCTGAGCCCTGGGTTCCATCTATGACTGAAGTGCCCTTTACTATCTTTTTCTCTAGGTCTCAAACTTTAGCATGTATCATAATTGCCTGGAAGGCTTGTTAAAATACCAATTATGGGCCCCGCTCATAGAATTTCTGATTTAGGTCTGAGGTGGGGCCCAAGAGTTCCCTGGTGACACTGATGCAGCTGTTCCAGGGGCCACACTTTAACAGCCACTGTTTTGACAGTGATATGATTCAACTTCATCATCTGTATACAGGCTGACCGACCATGTCGATTTGCCTGGGACTGTAGGTCCCATGTAGCAGAAAACCCCTCAGTCCGAGGAAAACTGGGACGGAAGGGTACCGTACCTGTATAAAAATCTTTCCCAGGTTGCTGCTCATGGGATATTTACTGCTACTGTCAAGCATCTTCTATGGCCAGGCCAACAGGAAGTGCCTGAGAAAGGAGTTGCAACAGCTTGACTGACTTTTTGCTGGAGTAAGAGTATTTAACAAAGTTTATCAAATTCAGTGTCTTGCAAACATATTCTTTATTTCCTTTAGAGAACAGGTTTTAGTCCTCTGGTCCTTGTAAACATTTAACACAACTAGTGTGAGATCAAACTGTAAGCAAATCCATAACTTTGCCCTGTGTTGCTGGGGTGAGTTTATACGAGGAGAAGTTGGGGGAGATGCAGCTTCTTACTCAGTTCAAAGTAAGTCTCGTCATGGAATAATAGTTCCACATGGCCATGTAGCTGACTTTCTGTGACTTCCAAAGGGCGCCCAGGACAATAAAGGGCCATGGTCCCTGGAAAGGACGGATGATGTTTCTGCTCACTGTTGATCAGGGCCAATCTTTTTCATTTACTGGGACTCCTCTTTCCAAGGAGTCAGAGGTCAGCAAGTTGATAGCGTCGCACAAGACCATCGCGACAGCATGTGTAGATCTGTTTCTCCCATGTAGCTACCTGGAACACAAGAGTTCACAGCTCACAGTAAGCCTGGGATTCTTCCATATCAAAAAGATAGACGCTGGTCATTCACCCACACTAGAACAAGGGAGTCTGAGAAGCTTTAATGACAAGAGAAGAATTACATCCATGATGTGTATTTTTAAAATGGCTGGCTGGGTCATGGGCGCTATGATTATAGAAGAGAAACTTAACTGGCCAAGTGGAGAGTAAACCCGTTAGTTTGTGCATGTTTGGTGCAGAGTTTGTATCTGGGGTGGAGATGGCCCATACATGGGCCTGGGTATCCTTGAACTTCATAAAATTTTACGCAAAGAAGTTTTCAATATGTGCCTTTTTTTCTGAGGAGGATTTCATCAACTTCTCAAAGAAGTTTGAGACTCAAAGAACCACCAATTTAGTGGAAACAGCATGAGTTCTGGAGTTAGCGGAATCTCAGGTTTGCTAATATGTAGCAGCATGACCTAGGGCAACTTTCTCAACATCTCTGGGCCCCCGTTTCCTCGTTTGTAAAATGAAATGTTAATTCACAGTACAGAACACTATGCAGAATTTTTAAAAAATGAAGTGGATCTATATGCATTTGTCTAGAAAGAGCTCCAAGATATTCAGTAAAAGAAATAGGGCAATACCTATAGGATGATCCCAATTATGTACAAACTGAAGACAAAACTATATTATTTACATAAATACATAAACACAAAAACAGTCTTAAAAGGTATCTGCCAAACTGTTAATACTAGTTACTTCTGGTAAGAAGACTAGAACTAAAAAGGTCTCAAAGGGGACTTGTAAGTCTGTATAATTCTGTATCGTTTGAATTTTTATAGGTATGTATTAATTGTATATATATATTTAATTATAATAAATAAATAGGAATAATACCTATATCTTAAGGGATGATAACAATAGTTAAATGAGATAATATATGTAAAACATCCAGCATAATTCTGGTCAATGAATATTATTTCCCCTTTTAATTTTCTCTTTCCATTCTAATCAAATAAGTTAATTAGTCTTGAACTTTAAATAATAATAGCTTATATTTATAGAATATTTTAAATTTACAAACAGTTTTCATATGCATTATCTCACTATTATCCTCATTTTACAGATGAACTGACAGACTGGGGAGGCGGGTGAAGTGATTTTTCAAGTTTCTAGAGCTAGTAAGTGATGAAGTCACTTCTGATTCAAAATTCTGATTTCCTTCTATCCCACCCCTAAATATTTTGTCACCCCTAATATCACAAAGTAGCTGGATTCAGTCCCCTCCAAGGTCCTAGATCCCAGGTGAGAATCACCCAGGCCTTGTTTCCATCAGGGCTGTACCTTGTACACAGGGTCACAGTCAGCCTCAGTAAGCTCAATGACATAGTCTAAGTCTTGCTGGACAATGAAACAGCTTCCATCACCTAAAAGGCAGAATGAAAATTTAGACAACTGAAGAGAAAGCTGCATGAAAAGGAGTTTTTAAAAACACAGTATTTTAGTTTATTTCTGTATATCACTAGCCCAAAGCTTGTCCCAAGACCCAGCATGGCAAATAAGTCTCATTATGTAGGCCAAATGTGAGGACCTATATGGTTGCCTAAAATGCTGGGCTAGAGAGGATTTGAAAGCAAGTATCTTCGGTGGGAAGAGGGGTTATGTTTGATTAGCAGTGTCTGTCAAGGGCACAGATGCAACTGCAGATGTATATATTTTGCTCTTATCCTAGACAATAATTTTTAACAGGGAATTTGTCTATATCAATGTTTTTCTAAGAAAAATCTACGCTCCCAAATTATTCTTCAATCTATTGGGTTGTTGGAAAAGTCATGACGTATTTTTTCTGTTTTTCGTTGCAAAAATGTGTCATCACTTTTCTGACAGCCCAATATAAATTTGACCACATGTATTAGGTGAAGGAAAAAAACGTTACACAAAAAAATAGACGTATATCTAATTTTTAAACTTTTTTCTCAGAAGAGCATGGACAAATGAAACTTAAGACGATCTATAAACTGCTAAGATGATTTTTGTTGTTGTTGTTCTTGTCTTACTTAAAAGTAGTACCTCTGAGTTAGTGGTGCTCACCACCGCAATGCCAGCTGCTTTCTTATGAAGCAGAATGCTTTTCCTTATATTGAACTGAAATGTGTCTCCTGATAACTTTCTTTTATTGGCCTCATTTTATCCTTTGAAAACAGAGTTACAATTTTATTCCCTTTGCCTTTAGATATTAATGACAAAAGTTATGCCTTCCCTTCTTTCCAGTAGAAAAAGAATAACAAAAAGTAGAAGGGTCATGAGTTTAGCTCTTCTCCACGTTACCCTTCACTTTACCCACGTGTCCTCTTGCAACAGAGATATTAATATATTGTTTTACATGGTCTAAAGGTAAGACAGGGGAGGGAAGAAATGCAGAGGCCCTGGGTGGCCTCCATGCTGGTTCTCAGAGATACTAAGCTGTGGCCTCAGAGCTGCCACAAAAACAATATAAGCTTCTCATGTGCTGCAACATGGCCCTAGGTTTGTTTACATTCTTCCTGTCTCAAAACTCTCACTTTAAGCCAGAGTGGGAAACCAACCATAATGTTTTGTCAGTTTCTCAGTTACTTCAGCAAGGAAGTGACATCTACTGCTGAGTTTCTTTTCTCTCTTCTCAAAAAATGTATGACTACCATAGCTCTTATTCTGCACTCAAGTTTCTATGTGCAAACCTTATCTACATGATAAGCCCCAGCTATGCCCGTTCCCCCTAGGAAGCCATTTCTAACCAACCTATAGAGTAAACCCTTTCTCCGTCCATCTCTTGTAAAGTGTATTATTCCTTTGTTACTTCAACATATCTTGCCCTGTAGCATAAGTTTACTTTTTGAGGGTGTGTGCCTTGTCACTTGATAAGGAACACTTTTTAGAAGGGCTTATAGGGCAAGGGGTAGTAACAGGAGTAAGAAGAAACTGTCATTTACAGAATGCCTACTTTATGTCGAATATTTCGCATATTTTCTAAGAAAATTGAAATTTAGAAAAGTGAAGTGGTTTACTAAAGGTCATAGAACTACTAGATTAAACTACATATAATTGTCATTTTTATAAACCAAAAATGGTCATATATTAAGAATTTCATGATTGAATATAATAGTAAGTGATGGAGTGAGGATTTAAACTCATTGATTAGGTTGTCAGCTTGGGTCCAAAATCTATGCTTTTTCTACGTCATTGCTGCTGCCCAATAAAATAAAAGCTAAGTAGGAGGTCAGGGCTAGAGCTATGGATTCCAATCATTAACAGCTAAAACCATGAGAACAGTGAGTCCTTGAGAAAGCATGGAGAAGAAAAGGTAGAAGAACAAAAGGTGAACTCAGAAAATACCTCTGGTTTAGGGATGGCAACAACAGTAGGAATAGCAAAAGGATTCAAGTTCAACAAGCAATTTGAAAACCTATAGTATATATGCCATGACTCATGCTAGGTACTCATAAACATAAGTTATTGAAACCAGGGAAAGGAGCAGGAACTGAAGAAAGAGAAAAACCAGGAGATTAGTTAGTATCACCAAAGTCAAAGGAGCTAACAGTTTTAAGAAAGAAATAACAGTATCACTAAGAGTCATGAAAGATGAAAAATATGTACTCACTCATTCAACAAACATTTGTTGAGATTCTTCAGTCCTGTGCAAGAGCTGGGGCTACACAGATGAAGAAGACATGGTACCAGCCCTTAAGGAAACTTAGGGACTAATGGATGAGACTTGTACACATAAAAGGCCACTGGCTCTAGCAAGCAGCTCACATTGGTGACCTTCAAGAAGGTAGTTTGAGCAGAGGGATAGGGATGGAGGCCAGAATGCAGAGATCTCAAGGGAAGAGTGTGGCATGGCAGCAAAGGGAATCAAAGAAAAAGGATTGCAATGAGTGGTGACAGCAGCATCAAGGGAAGCTGTCACAGCTTATGCCAACTGTTCTCTTATTAAGGCGCTACAAAGAGTCCTGCTGCATCACCAAACTGATGCCAAGACTTGGGGGAGAAAGCTTGAGAGCGAGCAAGTTCAGAGTGCTAGAAAATTAGGTCTACAGACTCCTGAGTACTCTTTGCTATGGTCTGGAAATCCTGAAAGAGAAGGGCTAAGGACATAAGGCACCAGTTTTGGCAGGGATGAAGGGTACCTACCTACTTGTATATCAGAGAGGTGGCCATGGAAATCCAGACACTGCCGGCTGCCTACTCATCTATTTCCCTGCCCTTTTCCTGACTGACAGAATCCCAAATTGTTTTCAGTGACAGGTGACACGGGGTGAATTGTGATTAACCCAAGACAATTATGGTAATTCCATTCCCCTTGCCAGTGACTGTTTTAGGCATGGGCACGCATTATAATCTGGCTAGTGGGGATGTTTGCTGGGCTGCTCCAAAGGAATTTTCCTCATTCTTAAAAAGGATAACAGGATCCACTGCTATGTGAGGACAAGACGTGTTGCAGCTATCTTTCACTCTGACCATGAGGGAACAAGCCTGAGGACAAAAGCCAGCATGCTAGGGAGAGCAACAAAAAAATGGAAAAAAGCTAGGTTCTTGCTTTTATTTCTTTTTCCTTCAAAAGCTGTTATTTACTTTTTAAATTAAAAAACTATATTTTAGAATAATTTTAGGTTTATAGAAGTTACAAGATAGTACAGAGAGTTCTCATATGGCCTTCAGCCAGTTTTAGTTTTTATTTATTTGGATTTCACCAGTCTTTACTTTAATGTCCTGGATTCAATCCAGGATACCACACTGATTTAGTTGTCAAGTTTCCATAATCTCCTCTGTTGACTTTGTTTTTGAATAACTAAATTAATCTAATCTGGAACCACTATAAACCTGGACTTCTTGTTAGGTGAAGCAGTACACTTTCCTAATTATTGGAGCCATTTTCCATTGGGTATTCTGTTACTAATGGCCAAAAACATCCAGATACACTGAAATAGGTAAGATGGTCCCTCCAGGCCATCCAGTCCAGTCCTCTCACCTCCATCATTCCTATGATGATTCATGGGGTAACTTAAGAGACACCTTGTTCCATGCATTTACTTCCACCCCACTCCCAAACTCCATTCCAAGTATCTTGTCCTGCCTACACCAAGGTCCTCATTTTACTAGACTATGTATGTAAAGCTTCGAACATAGGACCTACTGCATAGTAGGCATCTAGTAAATGACAGATCCCTTCTTTTTGCCCCCTTCCCTCATCTATGACTTTGCACACACTGTAGCTTTGGTCTTCAATGTTCACTTTTACATCTCCAGCTGGTAAAATAGCCATCGGTTGACATGTCACCTAATCCATAAAGATGTCCCTCAGCACTCCTATCACTAGAGTTAGTTGTTCTCCATGTTCCCATACAGTTTGCTGCTGCAGTACTCATCAAATTGTGCTCAATCACTGTCTACACGTCTGTCTGCCTTACTAACTGTGAGCTCCTTTAGGACAGAGATTATAACTGATTCATTACTGAATCCTCAGTGTTTTGCACTAAGGGCCAATACATTTACTCTACCGATGTTTACTGAGCACCAACTACACAGTAGGCAAAAAGCTAAATGCTGGGGATAGCACGATGAATAAGGCACAGTCACAACTCTCAAGGAGCTTGGGCTGGAGGGGGCCATAGACAATTACAATGTAGAGTGATAAACACTAAGTGATAAGCACAATATGCCGAAGCATCATGGAGGACCATGCCTCTAGCCCAGCCATAGACCAGGCACATAAACCTACGAGCATGTTTAACTGAACTACAGAGAACCATCTCTCTCTACTGGCCCCTGGACCTACCTTGGCTAGCAATAAAGCCATCTCTGAAACTCAGCAGGGACAGAACTGGTGCTCCTGATCTGTGGATGACTTGTACTGGAGTCCTAGGATTCAGAGTAAAGGGGCAATTTTAGGTTTTTTTCTTCAAAAGCAATGCTTAATTAACTATATTCAACACACAGTACTAGTACAGTACCTAGCAACAAAGAGGACATAGGTGGATAGAGATTGAATGTCCATATGGTTTCTTTCCTACAAAATCCTTAAATGGTAGATCAAGGTAATCCATTCAAAAACACCTTGGAGTGAATCTAAATATGTCTCTAAACATGTCATTGAGCTGAATGAACATGGACACCTACAGTATCTCCAGTTTTCAGGGAGGCCTGACAAGGGTTTAAGGTAACAATGTTAATCTTTTTACTTATAGAGAGAATTAAGACAGTTGTGAAATATTAAAATTGTCAGGACTCGGTAAAACAAAACACAAAAGTGAGGGAAAATCAATTTAATATGTATATGAGTGATTTTATAATAGTGATCAGAGACTACTTATCTCTAGGGAGGCAAAAACACATACAAAGGTAAAATAACTTAAATTATGAAACAAGAGGTATAAGCCAGTCACTCTTTGGCTGGAATTTCTTCACTGCTCTTGGAATAAAGTCCAAACTCCTTAGGTTGGTATGTAAGTCTTTTCTAAGCAAACACCTCTTTTATTGTCTGGCATCATTTTCCACTGCTGCTCCATCTCCAGGGTACATACCTGTCCTATTAAACTACTCAGAGATCCCTGGAAGGGTCATACTTGCACAAGCCTTCATGCTTCTCCATGTGCTCGTCTACCTAGGGCAGACCCTCTTTTCCTAACTTGGTAACCTCCTACTGGACAAGATGCAATTAAAGCCTCATCTCCTTGGAGAAGCAGTCTTGCCTTCTTCTCTTCTTCGTGGTGCTTCCTCATATTCCTGTGAATAGCCCGGTCAGACCACTGATCACACTGCATCACAAGTCTTTTATTTGTTCGTCATTACTATTAGACTCCAAGTGCCTCAAAGGCAGAGTCTATATCTTTTTTTTTTTTTAATCTTTTATTTCTGTTTTTCAGTGCCCTGCACAAAGCCTGGGGCCCACAGAAGCCATTTAGTAAATACCAGTTGAACAAAGAAAGGAAATAGGAGGAGGAAGGGACAGGATTGTAGAAACTGTTAAATCCGGGGACAGAGAGGTTGTGTGATTCTCTCTGGATATCTTGGAGACCAGAGTAAGGCTTATTTTAGATAGGTTAAGATCAAAGCTAAATAAAGAACCAGGGCTGGCTTACTTGAACTTGAAAAATGATCAATCTTAGGCCAACCAAGATCTAATAGCATACAGAAAATTGCTGAGCTCCTTAAAATTAAATGTTCTACAAAATCATTTTAAGTGAAATGTTAGTTTATTATATAAGCTTAATTTCCAAAACAATCATTACAATAGGACGATCATGACAGTATGAATTAAATTACCTTTTAATAGGATTCTAGGAATAATAAGAATAATCAGATAATTCACACTTGAAAACCTTTACAAATGGAAAAATATACCCTTGATATAATAGTCATATATACTAGGCTAAATCAATGTTAAAGCCAATGAAAATTTCCACTCTGTAGAAGACCTACATCATGCAAATGAATGGGTGACTCACCTTGGATTCCTCACATCCAGCTGATAAATGTTTCCATCCTGTGTCCCAGCCAACAGCAAGAAGCCAGAGAGAAACGTACAGCAGTTGAAAGCTTCTGAGCCAATAAAGAGGAATACCTGGGAACAAGCAGGAGACAAAAATGCTGTTTAAAGCTTAATTTGTTTCCAGGAATAAACAGGCACCAAGAAAAGGAAAATTTTACTATTTTTAGAGAGATTTTCTTTCTTCCCCCTTTAAGCATTCTTGATCTAAACTAAGCATTCACCAATAACTGAGGAAGAAGCACTCCCAGGATTTCAGGAACCTGAGGTTGGCGGAGGACTTTAGCAGTTTATATAATATAATAGGTAGCAGTTTTCAAACTATTGCCCCACACCACATTGAGTCATAGGCTCCTCAACACCAAACATCCTTCTTTTCCCTTTTTTCATTACAACCCTCCATGTGAGAAACACTTGCAATTCACATATTTAAGATTTGTTTCCTGTCACTTCTAACAACCTTTTGAAAGGAGGTACTTTGTAGGGAAAGAAACAAGCTCACATAAAGTGGCAATTTAAAGAATCACAATTCTCCCCGTGTTCTTGAAAAAAGAAATGATCAGCTTTTTATTTATTTTATTTTTTTATTATTATTTTTTAAGCTAAGCCATCCTGCTACCTGTTGGCAGCTCAGCGGCTGCTCAGCTCGGGCTGGACTCGAACCACTGTTGCTCAGAGCTCAAACTCTTGAGCGAGCTCTTAACCAACTGAGCCACTCGGCCAGCCCCAGATTTTTATTTATTCCTCACTGTTAGCTCAAGTTTATCATTTTGCCCTTAAATGTTCTAAAAAAGGAAAGAAACAAAACAAACAAAATTCTTTGATTTCCCTTTGGAAGTAAAAGTCAGCATGGAAATTCAGAGTGCAAAGGCAATATGATAAAAAATAGTGATGCTACTGGAATAAACTTTGAAAATGAAAATAGCACCAGCACAATGAAGTAGCGAGATAAAATGAAAATATAAAGCCTATGGCCAAACCAAATCATTAAAGTTATCTGGGTGAAGGTGACAGGGGCCGAAACGAAATTTTAAAAATCTAATCCCAGGGAACTCGGGGTTTAATTAAGAACACAGTATGCCCAGCAAAACCTTAGGGTGCAGGAAGAAAATTTAACTAATTTGTCTATAAAAGACGTTCTGGCCATCAGTTGATCGAGAGCCCTCAGTGCAGGAGTCCTTTACTCAGAATTTCTTCACGTCACCTCAAAGGTAGAAGGGAATCTGTACAACCTCATGATTTTACATATAGCACACGAAGGCTGAGAAGGAAAGTGACTTAACAAAGATCACAAAGCAGTACAGCATTTAATCCTCATCGCATAACCCTTTGAGATAAGTCCTATGAGGCCCAATTTAGTGGTGAAGAAACTGAGGGTCAGAGGGGTTAAGTAACCTGTCCAATGTCATAGCCACTAAGTGGAAGGTCTGGGATTTAAATATTGCCCTTATTCCAAATCCCATGTTTTTAATCACTACACTGTACTGCCTCTCACTCATGCGGCTTCCTCAAAGGTCAACACAGTGAGCAAGCAGAAACGTTTCCAAAACAGCTTTCCAAGAATCCAGAGTGACCCAGGTTGCCGCAAAGTTCAAAGGTCTTAGAGGAACCACTTGCCGGCTGCCTGCTCTGTAGTCCCAAGCACTGAAGCTTCTTATCTTCCCGGGCCAGCAGCAGCATTTTCGATTCTGTTCCAACCTCCCGCTCACCTGCATGACAGATGAACCAAATCAATAATGGGCTAGCTCTGCTGATCAGCTGGCAGTACCCAGGAGGCACAGATACTAATGGCTGTTTACTGAATTCCTCTGTTGGTGATCCACTCATTAATTTAAGAAAGCATTTATTACGTTCTATATCTTGACTGTGGTATTGTTATGACTGTACACATTTGTCAAAACTGACAGAACTGTGCAATTAAAACGGGTGACTTTTGCTTTATGTAAAATACACCTCAATAAACCCAACTTAAATATATTATTAGTAAATCCTTTGTAATGTGAGAAGATACCATACTAGGAGCAGGGGTACAATGTTGAACAAAATAGTCTCTGCCCTCAAGGCTCTTATGGTCTGGAGGAAATAAAATTTATTTATTCACTAAATATTTATTGAGAGTCTAATATATATCAGACACTATTCGAGGTGTTGAGGAAATAGCGATCTACAAACAGACAGGGTCCTTACTCGTTAGGGTCCTAGTGGAAATAGGAGATAGTGGAATAGGTAAACAAGTAGGATACTTTCAGACAGTGATGAGTTCTACAAAGGAAATAAAACAGGAAAATATGATAAAAAGTGAACAGATGGCGGGAGGACTGGCAGGAGTGGGGGGAAGAGCACTTTAAATTTAAACTTCAGCTTTAAAAAGGCTCTGTGGAGGCCACTTTTTAACTGAGACCTGAATGGTAAACAGAAGCCAGACATGAAGAGTTTCGAAAAGTTCTGGCTGGCAGTCTGCTGTACTGAAAGAACAAACAGAAGGCCTGTGGCTGGAACACAGTGGGCCTGGCAGATGTGACATGGGGCTGGAGAGAAATTTAGGGATCAGAAAGTGATAAGCCATGGCAAAGGGGTTAGAATTTTAATCTATGTATAAAAGGAGGCCACTGGAGGAGGGGAGGGACAATGAACCGTGACATGACTTACGTTGTATAGATGACCACAATGGTTGCTCTGAGGAGAACGGATTATAGGAGAATATTACAAGCAACAGATGATGATAGATTGGACCAGGATGCTGGCAGGAGGGAAGTGGGAAGGAGAGTGAGGTGGGAAAATTAGAAACACTTTGAAGGTAGAGAAGACAGACTTTGCTGATGTGGGACATGCGGAAGGGTGGGGTGGATCATGAACGGATCTCAGACTTCGGGATTCAGCAAGTGGGAAGATGGTACCACTGAAGCTGAGGAAGAAGTGTCCTGAGACGAGGAGGTGACTGTGTTGAATATTGTTGAGACTTTAGAAAGACAAGTATAGAGACACAGCACTGGTTAGGCAACACGGAGTCACTGGTTCCCCTGCCCTGACTCCCATTCTCCCATCCTTCCTGTTCTTGTCTGTTCACCTTGAATCCATCCTTCAAGGTTCAAATCAACTTCTTTTGTGAGTTCTTTCTTATCTACATTAACCTAAAACACTCTCTTCTTCCAAGAATCACTAAGATATTTCAGACAAAATTTTACTGTTCTCTGTTTTATAGGCATCAGTCTCATCTGAAATTATATTGTACTTATTCAAATGCAGTAACTATGACATGTAATTCCTTTGTAGATTCCAAAGCAACAGAAACAGATAGGTTTGCAATAAATATTAATCTTATGGTGAAAACAGAAATACCAGCTATAGAGCAGGAAAGGATAAGGAAGAAAAGGAGCAACTAATGCAAACACTAAGGGGCCAAAGGAAACAAAATAAGCTCCCATATCATTGTCGACTTACTGGGCATCTGCTCAGGGGAGCCGAGGTTTATGGAATTGTCAGCAGCACCCACAGCCACTCCATTGATGGAAGCACCACAGTCTGCAATGACTCCCAGGCAGGCTGAGCGCCCACAATCCCAAAGTCGCGCTGTCCCATCTCGAGAACCAGATACTACATTCCTCCCCCGATCAACAATAGCTGTGTCCAGGATACCTGGCAAGAGAAAAGAAAAAAGACCCTAAGATGGAGTAGGTAGCAGAGGAACTACAAGGACAGAGAAGATCAATCTGCATAGATAACTTCGTTCCTTCACAAACATGTACTGGATATGTGCTACATGCTGGACACAGTCAAGTGCTAGAAACACAGAAATAAACAGAACAGAGTCCCTGCTTCCCAGTGGTTCAAAGACTAGATATGAGACAGACATGGAAAAAGAAGCTTTAGATTTAATTTCTAGTAGAATGTTCTAGAGCAGTGGTTTTCAAGTTTTTATTTTGGCTTTAAAACCTGTTTTTAAACAAAAATTAAGTAGATATCTTAGTGAGTTACATCTGAAAATCACCATCTTTAAAGATCCTCCTGCTTCCATTGACAACTAATTGAAAGGATTAGTCTCCCATCTTAAAAAACAGATGTGACTTCAGGTCTTGCCAGGTCCTTCCTCTTACAACGGAAAAACCTGGACATAACAAACAAGCATAAGACTGAAAGATGGAAGACCACCTAGGGACCTTAAGACTTGAGGAACAATCTGAAACTAATATAATATTGTATGTTAGCTATATTTTAATAACAATGTTTTTAAAAAAAGACTTGAGGAACAACAGGATAATGAGTTCCCTGGATTTCCTTATTGCCTCCTACATATTCTGGACAGGACACTGCAGAATCCTCCAACATGGAACCAATAAAAGGAACAGGCACAATTAAAAACAAAAACAAAACAAAACTCCAAAAAAAGTCCGTTGTCTCCAGGCAAAAGACGGGGAAAGGGGTAGTCTATCAGAACAGAAAATCTTTTTTGGTAATATCCATCTCATTCAAATAGCAACAGGAAAACTGCTACCTCTCCCTCACCCAAGGTGTCAGTGAGGCTAAACAGGAAGTGATCTTCTACCCCAGCCCCTATGGAAGCAGGGAAGCCCTCCAATTACCCCACCCTGTGATGCTGACCAGGCCCAGTGGGGTACTGTCAGCAGGGTCCAGAGGTGAGCTGAGCCTCTACCCCCACCTGACAGCAACAGGTAGAAAGAGGCAGAACGAGGTAGTGGGAAGTAGCACTCCACTTTCCCCAGTCTCTCCTCTGGTGTTGGTTAGCAGGGAACTGAGCTTACAAACCCACCTGGAGGCAAGGAAGTGGTGCAAACTGAAGTGGTACAAGTCAGTGCCCCAGGATGCACAGCTGTGGCTAGGGAGATGTGTATGGTATTATTCGTGTATGAATTTTAAGTAACACTCACCAAAGAGCTGCCATCTAGAAAGTTTTCCTTTTCTATAAAAGTAGAGTGAAAAATTATCACCCCCCTCTCTAAAAAAATGACACTCAGGGCCGGCCGAGTGGTGCGATGGTTGAGAGCTGGCTTGGGATGCCAGAGGGCCCCGGTTCGGATCCCACATATGAGGGCCAGTGACACTGCCCTCTACAGCTAAAATGCTGAACGGCGGCTTGACCTGGAGCTGGGCTGCTGTGAGTCGCCGGCGACGGCGTAGGCTGCAGCCCCTGTGGCAGTGGGTTGCCATGGGCTACTGTATGTAGCCAGCAGCCAGCGTGAGCGGCCGCAGCCGCAGTGAGCGGCCGTCCAGAAGCCGGCGACTTATCTGCCTCGCCCGGGAAGAGCGCAATGGTGGTGCCAGCTTGGGCCAGTGAGGTGACGTCCTCCACGGCTGGACTGAGGAGCAAGGCGACAGTAACTTGTCTGTTCCCCTTCCCCCAATTCCCTAGCACTGTTCCCATCCCCCCAATTCTCCAATAAAAATCTTTAAAAAAAAAATGATACTCACTATATAGTAGCATGTAGTGTGGGTCTTTTCATGACAAGAATAAAAGAAAAAGGAGCTCTACAGGAGGCTCTTAAGAACTACTTTAGAAAGAAGCTATGGGAGTAGCAGGAATGCCTTTATAAAAGCAGCAGCCATAATTAAGGTCTACCAGAAACCTCAAAGGCTTTAGATATTAAACCAAACAGATACAAATCCTCAATATATAAACCAAGATGAAAAAGTATTTGCCTTCAAGCAAAGTTTCAGCTGACTCATATATAAACATCCTAGCCAAAGTGTGGGAGATAAGAATGTTAGATGAAACTATGACTAAAATAAGTATTAGTTAGAAAGAGAGCAAGTTTCATATTTTGAGTCATGTTTTTAACAAGTTTACTCTATTAAAATTATATGGTTTTACAATTATATTAAGCTGTTTTAATGTTGCTATGGATCAAGATACATATATATGTACATGGGAAAAGTAATGGCTGTGAATCAGATCTCAGAAAAAAAATGAGGCTTGAAGCACCTACTATTATTTGGAGACAGCAAATCCTATTTCAAAGAAAGTGTGTAAGAGTTCAAAAATAATGGCTGAAGTGCTGAAAATGCAACCTGGTTTCTTGAAATTATTCTACAAATGTAAGCATCTCTCCTATACTGGTGAGCAAAAACTCAACCAATCAACTGAAATGTTGTTTCATTTGGTCTCAATGTTTTCACAGATTATGAAAGAAAGACCTGGTGTTATTACATAGAATTATTGGGTTGTCGGAAAAGTCATGATGTATTTTTTCTATGTTTTTTGTTGCAAAAATGCGTCATGACTTTTCCGACAACCCAATAGGATTATGAATATATACCTCCAAATTCACCAATCTTAATTAAATGGTCTGGGCAATTTTAAAACTTCAAACTAATTATAGTACACTTTAGAGCTATTTAGTAAACTCATATAAAATCATATTTGATGTTTGTAATTTTATTTTCACTGGAAAGATTTAGAAACATACACAAATCTTTCCTCTGTTAAGAACACACTAATCCTTTAATTATATATAAAATATCTATATGAAAGTATTTAGGAAGACCAATTACATATTAAGTAGGATATTTGTTTCCATTTGAAAACTTCTATTACAAATAACAATTTCTGATTTTCATATTTGACAAGTATGTTAAAACATCACAAGGCATGCCTTTCCTGGCAGGGATTAAAGTTTAGTTTTATGTTTTATATGAAAATAACATTTATTGTGCACTTATTATATACCAGGAATTATGCTAAATTCTTCTTATGCACCATCTCATTTAATATTACTATCCTCATTTTACATAGGAGGAAATTAAGGATCAGAAAAGTTAAGCAACTTTTCAGGTCACACAGATTTTAAGTGGAAGAATTAAGATTTAAACCAAGATTTGTATGTCTCCAAATCCCATGCTAACCACTCTATTATACTTTCATGTATACTTCCCTTACTATCATGTTTTCATATACTAGAAGCAGGGACTTAATTAACAAAAGATTATATTTTACAGCAGATCTTTATATACAGAGCTACTTTATTAGAGTCCTAATGATTCATTTCAATAAACATCAGGCTATGTTCAGTCCAGTCTTCTTGGTGTTTTCTTTTGTATCTTGCTTGCCAAGACGTACCCTAGGCAATAAAATACCATGTTCATTTTCCACACTCACTATCTTCTTCTCCTATTTAGTCACCACCTGTGAAACCACTAAAATCACAACTACAGGTAATATAGTAAGTCCTCACTTCACGTTGTCAATAGGTTCATGACTTTAAGCAAAATGCTGTATAACAAAAACAACTTTACCATATGCTGACATAAACAAGAGTTGTTAAGTTCCTACAGCCTCTCATCAAGATTGTAACAAAATGATGTTGAATGAAATGACATTATTGGAGGACCTGCTGCAATTCTTTATTGTTTTTTATTTGATTCATGGCTTTCACTAATAATATGTTTCAAAATCTCATAACTAAAGAGATTGTAAAAAAGGAGCCACACAAAGCAACTTGGAAATCATTTGGCTGGAGACAGTGACCCATCTGCTGCTAAACTATTGGCGATTAATCTTGATTTTTGCTCTGTATTGTGGAAGAATGGGCAACTCCAAACCTGGGCTACTTTACAGAAGTAACTGGGGAGGAGCATTCAAGACCTGACAGACAGCCTGGATCTGACTTCATGTCATTTCTCCTATAGTTTATCATTTCTGTTCAATCTAATAAAAACTCTCCCCTCAAGGAAAAAAAAAGTCATGATTGTTACATTCTGGAGAAGCTCCCACCCCCACCCCAGGACTTTCTCACAAAGCCAAAAGAATGGAACAAACTATATGAATAAAATCTTAAATCAGATTATCAAACATTCTGTAGTCCGCTCTAAGCTAAAGACACACGTCTTCTCAAGGAGAACTGAAGAATGTTGGGAGGCTTAGGATTCAGGTGGAAGGCACACTCAACAACTGCAGTAATCCAAAGGTATCACAAGCTGAGTGAGTGTGCACTGATGTTGAATACGCATCTTGTTAAGTTCAACATGCACAGTCATGCTCTGTTCCACTGGAAAGTTCCCCCATGCCTCACACGTTCAGAAGGATGGCCAAGTCTGAGGTGACTCCCTCAGCGTTCCTCTAGATGCCTTTGGCTCCTGGACTTCCCAACTATGTGGGCTGCTTTAACTCCTTAGACCTGTCAGGCTGAATGTGAAGCCTCTAAATATCCTCTCTCTTCCCTCTCAATGCACTCATCTACTTACAGTCTTAGAAGTAAATCATTTATTTGTTAAGGCTAACATGTGCTTGCTGGATGACCCATCCGTATGTAATCTGACAAACCATTATAAAAAAAATTAAAACTTAAAACTCAATCTCTACACACAAATTTTATAATATATTTGGGTACACAGGGCAAAAACACTGCTTTAAGTACTGTAAGTATAGGGCAATACATAATTCATTCCCAAATGAGTGGTATAGATGATGTGCTTTATGGTTCCAAAGGAGGGATCAAGTTAAGGATTTACTTGGGGATGTTACTACATTTTCAAAAATATCCAAACTTGTAAAATAAGAAAAACTTTATCACCTTTTTAACATTCCAATTAAAGGATAAAACATCTTTAAAATATATTTTTTTCCCCAACAAACCAACCAATCAGTTATAAAGGGATGATGTTCTCACTCTGTCTCTACAATCTGATATCAACTGGTTATATGGCTAATCCATTTTAAAAATCTGAACTGTGATTTAAATCAATGGGAATCAACAGTCAGTAGCATGCTCTATCTTTGAGGTCTGGGGATGCAGCCATTTGCCATCCAGCTTTTACTATCACCTCAGCGAAAGGACTAATAATGAGAAAATGTGGGCACACACCTCTCTCTCTATCCTTTTTTCTCAGCACACAAGTAGATGATCTCCTGGGGAGGATGTTTTTCGCTTATCAATTGTGGAAAACAGCTATTAACATCTGTGTGAGGCAGTTAGTTCTAGACAGCAATAACAAGACTGAGTAGCAAAAGAATTTCTAATCCTTGGGGAAACAGCAGCTCATTTAAATGGCCAGTTGAATGAACTATTTGTATTTTTGTGGGAAATGACCTTCTGTTTCTATCTTTTTGGTGACTCATCTCTGGGAATCATTAGAGAAGTCTTCTAGAGAAGAAATTACCCTTCATACCTCCTTTGTGACCTTTGAAGGTCACCACGCAGCTAGCATCTTCAGCTGACCAGATCTTCAGCTGGGCATCCATTCCCCCACTCAGAACCACAAGGCCTGATGGGAAAAACCTGCAACAATTCACATCAAACACATGTCCTTCCAATACTCTCTGGAAAAACAAAAGAAAATTCCATGCTAGTTCTCTCGTCCATCCCTTGATGTTCTCTTACTTCCCATATCCTTAGTCCCTTAAATGAAATATCAACATGCTATAACCACATACTAGGTTTTAAAACTGAGGAGGTCCAAACGATCTCTTTAGCTCATTTGTCTACAAGGTAGTGTTCTAAGAGCTGCTGGCTCCCTTTCCGGCTTTGGCTACAGACATTGTGGATTTGAACTCCATGGCTCTCACAGCCATCCCTAAGTCTAGATCTACATAAAAGAAGCTGAGGAGGCCTGAGGACTCTTACCCCTTCTTAAAATCCTCTGTACAGGCTGAGGGGCTCAGTCATATATAGTTAGTATAACAGCCTAGCTACTCTTAGAAACCGATTACTAAAGGCAGTTCATACCAAGGGACCACCCACTTAGACATTTGCTGGCCTGGCTCCTCCACTGTTCCAGCCCCAATTTGTTCTGGCAGATCACCAAACTTGAGGATGTCTCTCAGCTTAACAAATGCAAGAACAAAGATCAATTGAAATGCAGTGGCCCATACAATGGGCCACTCTTCTTTCCATTACCCAGTCTAAGGTTTCTAAGACTACCCTTTATGTATTAAGACCCCAAAAGTGTATCCAAAGCCTTTACTCTGAGCTCTCCATTGGAAGCCTGCCAGATCTTCATGCTCCCATCAGTGCTAGAAGACACACCAAGGCCTCCTCCACTGGAAATGTCCAGGCATGTTATCTGTTCAAAAGATAAAACCGGTGTTACACATAATGAAATACTCATCTTCCTTTGAAATGTGTTAATGTTATAAACCTCCCATCTCACACTCCTCTGAGGCTTCTTCGAGCCTTTGCTTCCTAACACAAAGGACATGTGTTTCATGTGAAGGTTGACTTACTATCACCAATTCTCAACAAGCCTACAGCCAACACCTTTTACTTCTTGAACCAAAAAAATATTCTTACAATTATCTATAATCTCCTGCTTCAGTTAAAAAGTGTTCCCTATCCCCATAGCATTTCCATAGTTTACATCTTTTGCTATTTTATTTTAAAATTAAGATACCGCTTCCAATTCTTAGGAACATCACTTACACAAAAGACAGTCTTCCAAAATGTACCAGAAGGATTCAAGGAAAAGCAAAAACACTTCCAATTGACTACTTCATATTTCCTCTGTAAATTCCTAATTGTGTGTGTGTGTGTGTGTGTGTGTGTGTTTCAGAATAAGTAACAGAGAATTCCCAGATTCACTTATACAGTTTCAATATTAGCAATCACGTCGTGCATAAGCCATGATCAAAATGCCAAGTCTCTTCCATATACATGTATGCATACATACACAACTTTTATTAAAAAAACACCCAATTGCAAATATTCCAGAAATGTAGGATTGAGATACACAATCCCAGACATATTCCCAGCAACAATGATTCCCATATGACCTAAGTTATTAAGCAAAAAGTAGAGACTTTGGCTTTAATTAGCCAACCTTCTATTTTAATTTGTTCTATGCCAATTAAGCATAATGAATGGGGTTGGCAAGAACTAAAAGGATATATCAACTCTAACACTTTCTGAGACTTTTTCTTCTTTATGTTGGTTCCTTAGAAAAGGCTGTTAATTTTGGATCCTTTAATTTTAAAGATTATGACAACAATTAACATTTATATCATGTTTTATAATTTATAAAACATTTTCAAATACATATATATCATTTGATCCTCATAATAATCCCATTCTGCTCCTGGCTTCCCACTACTGAGCACTGGGGACACAGAAGTAAATTTGACATAGCTCTGCCTTCACATTCTAGGGTAGGATACATATCTCTGATCTACCTTTCTTCTCCAAGACCACTGCTTCCACCCTAATCCTGGATCTTAAGTCTGACTACTTGTACTGTCAATTAGCTTCTTTCAACTCTATGTCTGGTTCTACATAATGAGTTCTGTAAGTGTCAGAACCATGCACAGCACTTTCTTACACAAATCCGAGCCTACGTACATAGTAACTACTCAACAAATACCAAATGACAGCCTTTGGGAACAAGGATGAAGTACCTCATCAATACTAAGTAGGAAAGTAAAGCCATCTGACCTGTATCAACAAGACCAGCCACTGTCCCCATTCGCAGGGCCCAGAAACAAGTCATATTTAAACACTTTTCTACTTACTCTGAAATCAGTTTAATCCCTAAAGCAACATAACTCAACCTCTTTCCCGACTCAGGTGGCATCTATCCAACTGCCTGCTAGGCATTTACATTAGGCTTTCGAGTGGAGAACTCAAACTTAATATGTCCAAACCAGAACTCATATTTCCCCTTGCTCCAAATCAATACAACTACTTCTCCCCCAATTTGTAAATGGTGCCACAATTTACCCACTTCTCAGGCCCAAATTTTTGGAATCATCTCAACTCCTCTAATTTTCTTTCACAGCTCATATCCAAATCATTAGCAAATATTGTCTGGTCCCACACGCCTAGAATGTAAGCTCTACACCACAGTTTTATTCAAATGATTAATCAAAGGAGTGTAAATTAAAATAATGAAATACTATCTCTCAAAATGGTAAAACAAAAAAATTCTAATACGCAGTACTGGCCGAGAATGTTAAGTCAGACTGGTAGAAAAACAATACAATAAAAATCTTTTTTAGTCAATGGATAGGGCCAGTGGCAGGTCAATTAATAAAAAAAATTGTTATAGTACAAAATAAAGTATATAAATGCCTACATTTTAACTCAAATATATAAATATACTTTAAAATTCACTAATTTTTTCATTAGTCTACTGATTACTACAAGGAAGCTTCATCTTGACTTTCTTTTAATAAACTATAACCAAAAGGCACAATTTACAACTTCCGGTTCTTTAAAGCAAGGCAAATCTTTGTTCACACTTACAAAGTAATCTAAGAACAAAAATTCATCTAAGGTTTTAAAAAAAATCTTTTCCCTAACATTTTGCATTTATCTTGCTCACATATACTATAAAAGACATAATTACGCTCTACCTTTTCACACCCATATTTCATCGGTTTAATTAAGATAATTTTAAAAACAACATCACTGGCATTGTAACTGACCCTTGGTAAGCATCAACTTAACCAGCAGTGTCAGAAGTATGCAGGCCTCAAAGAAGAGCTTATGAACTGGGAACATGCTGTGGGCATCAGTCGGTATGCTTTCCAGAGGAAACGCAGAGCAACAGTTGACTCAAAAAAATCAGTTAAGTGGAGGTCACTCAGACCATAGCAAAAGCCTTATAATTTGCATTCCCTGTGACTCTGCAACTCTACATTTACAAATGTATTCTAATTTCTTCTGATTTTTGTGAACGACAGTTAGTTGTAAGTATATCATCAAAATAGAAATTCATGAAATTGGAAATACCTGAATGTCCTGTAATGTAAAGGCTATATAACAAAAGTTTACAACAGTTATCTTTAGGTTATGGAAATATGAGTGATTCACTTTCTTTCATATTTCCTAAATTTTCATCACTAAATATATGTTTTACAATAAGGGAAAAAATAGTTATTTTAAAAATGTACCACACAACAAAAAGTGGAAGACTTTAATATAATCAGTTTATCCACCTATTTCTCACTTCTGTTTCCAAAAGCCCATGGTGGTAGAAAGGAGTTTATCAGAAAGACCTTTGAAAATTATTCCTCAATAAGCTGTACTTGAAGAAAATGTCCCTGTCCTAGAGCAAAGGGGAAAGAAATATGAGCAGCGACAAATTATGCAAACATCAGCTACTATCATCATTGTCCAAAAGCTGGCAAGTAGCTCTGCTAAAACATATATAAGGAAATTTCACTTCAAAATTCCTTTCTCTAAGATTACCATTGAGTGGATTTGTACACATATTCTATGTGATCCCAAACATTATCACACTTCTTCCGCTGTGTTATCTTATAATGTTAATTATGAATGTTTATAGCACTAGACAAGCAGATAAAATGAAAAATTAACATGCTATTACATTTCTCCTCATTTTATCAAAATACTTACACTGTTTGCATGAATTCTGGAAAAAGTAGTATATGGTGCCAAAAACTTTGAAGATGCATTTTCCTTTGGACATGAAATATGAATGCTTTTCTAAACAGAGAGGGAAAGATGAAATACATCAGTAAAGCTACTCCAATGGAATTAAAGTCTCTTAAACAAAACATTAGGATAACAGGAAATTCTCATCTTTTAATCTTCTCTAATCCTCCTTCCCTAGCTCACAAAACTATCACTCCCTTACAGGTCAGCAGTACTTTCACTGAGAGGGCTGCAATGCCATTTGATATCGATGAGACACCATTATCTTTTTATGTAACACTGTCTCACAGAAGACAAACCAACACTAGGATACAAGTGACAAACATGAGAGCATTAAGTTTTAGAAGAAAATCTAATAGCAGTACTCTCAATTAGCAGTGGGGCAAGGAACAGCATCAATAGATGTGAGGAAACAGCACCAGCCCTCAAGCCTAGGGCCTAAAAGACTAGTCTAAAAGTAAACTTGCTGCCTGTAAGAAACTCCAGAAAATGTTAGCCTACTGACATGTATAGTTACCAGAGAAAACTGGTAAAGTAAATTATGGTACACTCTTACAATGCGTAGGCCCTGGTCAGGCTTGCAGTACCCATTCCCACCTAGGTGTTAAACTGACTGTACATGTTCATAGACTGGTCATTGTCACAGTCATAGCTGTATTATGATTCCCCACGTGTTACGTCTAGTTATTATCACATACCTTTCAGCTACTGTAGCAATATAACACTGGTGACATAGTAGGAAATTATACTAGAACCAACGTTAGATTCAGGCGACATGACTTGCTAAAGGCAGCCTTTGTAACCATCACAGATAAGTACATTGGTGCTTCAAGGTAGCATGTGTAGAGGTATAAAAGACTTGGTAAACACCTCCTCAAGGATTCAATATGACAGTCCCTTACTCTAACCAGCAGAATACCAACACCATCATTTCAGTATATATCTCCTACACAGAGCCGAGGAGCTGCTCTCCCCAAATAGCCCCTAACTTCTTATCTCTTCTGCAGTAGTACTTCAAAGTTTCTGGAAATCCTTCTGGATAATGAAAACGTCTTCAGTAATCAAGATTTTCTTAACCTCTTTATAAGGCTCATCTATGTACAACAAGCACAGTCCTCATAGTTCTTTAGAAAGAACAGTTTCAAAGTTATGATATTTTTATCACTGAAAATCAATATGCTCTTATCACAGGTCCTCTACTCCTTTAAAAAGACAATTAGAATATCTATACAAACAGTACTTTCTTAGCCAGCTTATCTAGGTCTGGCTGCCTATAGCCCTTTCATTAAATGAGTTTTCGCTTCTAACCACAGGACAAAGCCCATACAGCTGCCAAAGAGCTGACCTGGATTTGGAACTGTCTCCTGTACACGAAACTAAAATGTCAGCTAAACTCTGGCTAAATATTCATACCAAGTAAGGATGCCGGGACCTCTGAGAGTTTAGTGTTCAGGCCTCTGTAAGCATTGGTTTGCTCTCAGAAGGCTTCATTTCTTTGGGGCTAATTATGTGAAAGGTTTCAAGAATCAATTGTTTTCTCTTGTTTATCAATCCTGCAAATCAATCTTTAATCCATAAACAGACTATGAAGGAAGATAAATACTAAACTACCTTCCAATGTCAGCAGTAGATAACCATGCTGTTAATGAAAATATTTTAAAGAAAAGCTGCATTAGAAATCAAAACAGACAGAACAGACAGAATTTGGGGGGTGAGGTGGGGAGTATGAGTATTATTCCACACTAAGATAAAAAACTTTTTATCCTCTGGGGTTAGGTTTTTAAGCATATTGACAGGTCTGTTTAAAAGAGCAATGTAGCAACATCAAATAGCAAAGTGACTCATGGCAGTTAGGAAACCAATGAATGCTCAACCATAAGCACTTACTGTCTGACCCAGCAGCTACACAGCAGAAATTAGCAATGATGTCAGAAGATAAGGACAGTATCAGGGCCTGAGTACCAAGGGAAAAAAGGAAGTCAGCACCCAGGCTATGAATGGATACTGGTGAAACACCAGGGGAAAATGTACATTTGCAAGGTGGTGGTATACTTGAAGTAAACAGAACTGGGTTTCAGTTCTGACATACAGTCCAACTAGCTTTGATTATTAGGGGTTAATGCATCTGTTTGCTTATATGTAAAATGGACATTTAAAATGCCAATTCAAGGGCCGGCCGAGTGGCGCGATGGTTAAGAACTCGCTTGGGATGCCAGAGGGCCCCGGTTCGGATCCCACATATGAGGGCCAGTGACACTGCCCTCTACAGCTAAGATGCTGAACAACAGCTCAACCTGGAGCTGGGCTGCCGAGAGTCGCTGGCGACGGCGTAGGCTGCAGTCCCTGTGGCAGTGGGTTGCCATGGGCTACCGTGTGTAGCCAGCAGCCAGCGTGAGCGGCCAGCAGCCGCAGTGAGCGGCCGTCCAGAAGCCGGCGACTGATCTGCCTCGCCAGGGAAGAGCGCAATGATGGTGCCAACTTGGGCCAGTGAAGCAGCGTCCTCCACAACTAGATTGAAGAACAAAACGACAGCAACTTGTCTGTTCCCCTTCCCCTAATTCCCCAGTACTGTTCCCATCCCCCCAATTACCCAATAAAATAAAATTAAAAAAAAATCTTTAAAAAAAAAATAAATAAAAAAAAAATAATAAAATGCCAATTCAAAAGGACTATTATGATCAACAACTCATTTTTGTAATATTTTAGTTTCATTTATATGTAGTCTCATTCCCCACTAACCAGCCTATGAGGCAGAATATTATCTCCATTTAATAGATGAGAAAATTGAGGCTCAGGGAACTAAGCTATTTGTCCAAATTCATATTGCTAGTAAGTGTAAGAGTTAATTAACAGTTGGGCTCAGATCTTCTGACCCTTTCTTCCATACCATAGGTGTTTATGAAAAACAAATATAAGTTATATAAAAACATGTAGCCTATTACTTTGCACAGAGGGTAATGAATATTTGCTAAAAATCTTATGTAAAAAATAAAGTATCCTTTATTCTTGTCAGTATACCAGAAATATTTTACAACTAAAAAAGTTTATTTACACACACAAAAAAAAAGGAAGGAAGAAAGGCAAGCAAGCAAGAAAGGGAAAGAAAGACTGGTTTACCCTTTGGGAATCATCTCACCAGAGCATATTGGCTGCAGCCATCTGAATGAGTAAGGAAAGTCAGATCATGGGTTCTGCAACACTTAGTCTGGCCATCTACTCACCTCAAAGACTGATGAGAAAAACTAATAAGTATTATTCATGTAGGGCTTCACCAAGGCCTAGCCATGCATATTATAATGCTATGCTGTACAATACAGTAGGTACTAGCCACATAAGGTTATTGAGCACTTAAAATGTGGCCAATGCAAATAAGGAACTGCATTTTTAATTTTATTTAAAGTTTAATTTAAAAATTGATACTTGATCCAGTTATTGGAAAACTTTTTAAGTATTGGAACTACTTGGGTATGTGATTCTATGTTTTCAACTGTAAATTTTATAAAACCTAAACACATATCAAGTATGTCCAATAAAAAACTAGAGTCTGAACTGAGATGTGCTATAAGTGTAAAATATACACAGAAAAAAGGAATGTAAACTATCTCGTTAATAATTTTTATACAAATTATAGGTTGAAATATTTTAGATGTCTTGGGTTAAATAAAATATTAAAATTAATTTCACTTGTTTCTTTTTACCTTTTTCATGTGGCTACTGGAAAATTATATATATGGCTCACATTATCTGTTGGACAGTGGTGTTATAAGGGAAGTTAAAGGAAGTTTGATTGCATCTAAAAGTATATGTAACTTCAGAAGAAAAAGAAAACTCTTGACATTCAAAGGCAGTAAAAACTATGATTATTGTACAAATGAAACAGAGATGACACTGATACACAGATAGTATCGTTATTTGAAGTATGATAGATATATAGGCACTACCATAGTTTTGGACACGGTGCCATCTAGCAGACATAAAAACCTACCTTGTTTATTTCATTCACAATAAATCCTTCCGAAGCTGTAACCTCTGGGATGCCATCAAGGCCAATTCCTTGACAAGTTAGGCTGCCATACAAAGTTGGTTTCCCTATATAGCACAAAAGAAGCATGTCTCAAAAAATGACAAGAATTTAACATTTTTCTCCGTGAAGACCCAATTCAGGCATCTGTATAGATGGTAGGAAATTGGCTCATGAAAGAAAAGCAGGGATTTGTGCTAAAAATGAGGCAAAGTAGAAAGAGCACTAGCCTAAGTTGGGAAATATACTCAAGGGCTAAAAGCTAGGAACAAAGATTTAGAGATATAAGAATAGCATTTGTAGAGAAAGCTACTAAAGTGATCTCAACCTCAGTTTTACTGGCAGTGAAATGGAATTCTTCCAGGATGAAAGGTGAAGATCAGCATGAATATATGTATTTATCCACAGTATATACACATAGTACATAGTAAAGAGTTAAGCTTCATTAATCTGAAAAATGTGCTTATGAAGAACACTGTTTTGCAGTGATATGGGCTAAATATTATCCTATACATAAACATATGCAGATGGCAGAATGGAGTTAAAAACAGTTCTATTCATATTCTGTACTGTATTTCTACACTTCTGTAACAGCTCATAACACTCCATTTACATTTCTGACCTCCCCATTAGACTGTGAGTTCAGAAAATAGCTGGTTGCTACAAATTATTCAGCAAATAACTGTTGTACCAAACTGAAATTCTAGGAGGGAAGTAAAAACCATCATGGATTCACAGAGCAAGAGGGCTTCCTTGAGAGGGTGGGACTTGAGTAGGACCTTAAAAGAAAGCTAGGAAAAGGAAGAAGATAATGAAAAGGAAACTTCAAGTCAGAGAGGGGTCACGTCAAGAACAAAAGAAAGTCAGAAAGAACAAGGGGGAAGGAGGAATCAATTAATATACCAGTTTGGTTATAACAGTCATGGAAAAGGTAGTTGAAGGACATTAACGAAGGAACTTACCATCTAGGGAGAAGATCTAGTGAAAAAGCTTTTGGCAAGGAAGTGGCAAGAAATGCTAGTTCAGAAGGATGCCACAAAAATAGGATTGAGGAACTCTGTGAATCCCTCCTGGTTTCACTAACTGCCCTATGAAGTCTGCCTTTCATGATACATCATTTCAACCAATCTCCTGTCAGCATCCTCAATGACCTCTCTACATTTGTACAGTCACTGAAATGATCTCAGTCTAGGTTTTTTAATATAATAGAACTGGGATTAATTCAACCACTCACCTTCTACATTTCTACATGCAGGCTGCTGAGCGCTGCTACAGCGAAGGACATAACTGGGCAGATTGGCCCCACTACAGTTCATGTTTCTGAGCTCTGTACGGTTTTGCAGCCATTTGCCCCTTCTATTCCCCACAGCAGCCAATTCTCATGACACCCATCCTGCCATCAAAACCTTCTTCCTTAATAGTCAAAAAGTGGAAACAACTCAAATGTCCATCAATTTTTTTCAAATGTACATCAACTGATGAATGAATTAAAAATGTGGTGTATTCATCAAAAGTCAAGGTGGCTGAGGCCCGGCCGAGTGGCTCAGCTGGTTAAGAGCTCACTTGGGAGCACCAGCTCTGAGAAGCAGGGCTGCAGTTTGGATCCCACATTGAGGGCCAGTGGTGCTCGCCCTCTACAGCTAAGATGATGAACGGCAGCTCGACCTGGAGCTGGGCTGCTGTGGGTCGCCAGCGACGGCGTAGGCTGCAGCAAGGCTGCAGTGGGCTGCCGTGAGCTACGTGAGTGGCTGGCAGCCAGCGTGAACTACCGGGAGCCGCTGTGAGCGGCTGATCAACGACCGGCGACCGATTGCCTTACCCGGGAAGAGCACAATGATCATGCCAACATGGGCCAGTGAAGCGACGTCCTCCACAACTAGACTGAAGAACAAAACAGCAATTTGTCTACCTGTCTGTTCCCCTTCCCCAATTCCCCAGCGCTGTTACCCTTCCCACAATTCCCCAATAAAATCTTAAAAAAAAAAAAAAAGTCAAGGTGGCTGAATAAATAAGAAAACAAGACCCATACATATACTGCTTTCAAGAGACCCACTTCAGATTGAAAGACATGCACAAACTGAAAGGGATGGAAAAAGATATTTCATGCAAATGGAAACAACAACAAAAAAAGCTGGGGTAGCAACACTAATATCAGACAAAACAGACTAAAACAAAGGTTATAACAAGAGACAAAAGACCCAGAAATTCCACTTCTGGGTATTTATCCCCCAAAACCCCAAACACTAATTGAAAAGACATATGCATCCCTATGTTCAGTGCAGCATTATTTACAATAGCCGAGATATGAAGGCAAACTAAGTGTTCACCAACAGACAAATGGATAGAGAAGATGTGTACATATATGTAGCCATAAAAAAGAGTAAGATCTTGACATTTGTGACAACATGGATGGACCTAGAGGATATTTTGCTAAGTGAAATAAGTCAGACAGAGAAAGAGAAATATCATATGATTTCACTTACATGTGGAATCTAAAAAATAAAATACACAAATAAAACAGAAACAAACTCAATACAGAAAACATTTTGATGGTTTCCAGATGGGAGGAGGGTTGGGGAGATGGATGAAAAAGGGGAAGGGATTAAAAGTGCAAATTGCCAGTTATAAAAATAGTGATGGGAATGTAAAGTACAGCATAGGGAATACAGTCAATAATACTGTAGTTACTATGAATGATGTCATGGGTATTAAGACATATCAGAGTGATCACTTCATAAGTTATATAAAGGTCTAATCACTATGTTGTACACCTGAAATTAATATAATATTGTATGTCAACTGTGATTAAAAAATAAAAAATTATTTTTAAAAATGTGGTATATCCATACAATAGATTATTACTTGACCACAAAAGGAATGAATGCTACAAAATGGATAAACCTTGAAAATGTTATGCTAAATGAAAGAAGTCAGATACAAAAGACCAAACATAATATAATTCCACTTATATGAAATGTCCAGAAAAGGCAAGTCCATAGAGACAGCAAGTCAATTAGTGGTTGTTAGGGGGCTGTGAGGAGAGGAAATGGGAAGTGACTGCTAAAGAATATAGGGTTTCTTTTAGGGGTGATAAAAATGTTCTGGAATTGATAGTGGTGATAGACACACAACTCTGTGAATAAACTAAATCCACTGAATTGTACACTTTAAAGAGATAAATGTAATGGTACATGAATTATAGCTCAATAAAGCTGTTATTTTTTTTTAATGGGAAACCTAATAGTACCTACCTTAGAGGGTTGTGAGAAATAGAAATAATATATGTATAGTATCTAGCACACAGATAGCACACATTTTATTTCAATAAAACGATTTTAAGAATAAAACAAAAAAACCCCTCTTCCTTAAGAGCACACTCTACCTCCAACATCACAAAGAAAACTGAGGCTATAAGACACTCACAAATTTCCATGTCCATGCCTATGCATTTATTTACATCTGCACTTACCTTCACCTTCTTTCCTTAATCTTTTACACTTAATTCAATCTCCTTCTCTCTCCCCTAAGATATTAATATTTGTTAGTCCTTCTCTCCTCTACCTACAACCTCTATTTTAATTGTTCTCCAATTAGTTCCCATCTTAAAAATAAAACAAAACCCTTGACTATAGACCTTCTAGTTACTATATCTTCTCTTCTATGAAGCACCAATTTCCTCAAAAGAAAACTGTTTAAAACTCTATTTCTCATAGAAATAGAATATATTATATAAAGACATCAAAGATATCTGAGATGAAAAATAATCGGTAAAACAAAACATTCTCTCAAATTTAGAAAATTTTTTTAAATGTTACCACACTAACTGCAAACAAATGGATGGGAATAACAGGAGTTTCATTCAAAGGAAAAATTGTTAAGACTTGGGAATTCTGGATATGGTACGGTGACTAGGTTTTACACTCTGATGTTTAGAATGATGGTAACTTCAGAAATGAGAAAATTAAGAAAGAAACCTATTTGACAAAAGAAGTGCTCAGCTTGGTTTTGGATGTGATAAACTCAAGACGACACTGAGAGCTTCAAGCAGAAACAGCTAGCAGACAACTGTTCAATCTCTCCTTGAAACTGAAGAGAGACCAGGGTTAGGGCTATAGATCTAGGAATCATCATCAGGAAGGTCACACTTGAAGCTGTAGAACTACTTAGAATACAATAATATATAGCTAAGAGGCTGTTTAAGATGCATCAGCAGTGTCTCTATGAATAAGTTTATGACTTCTAAATGGAAAACCAATCTGAAGGCCTTCCCCTAGAATGGAGGAGTTGGGGTGATGTCAGTACATCACAGACTGGTCAAGAACATCTGAAGACTATGAGCATTATGCAAGGAGTTTGGGCCAGGAGAAAGTAGGAAGCTCTCTTCTAGGGGTAGGAAATCCTTTTTCTCTAAAGGGAACACATACAGACTTAAGGACATTACCTGGCGGGTGACAGCTCAGCCAGGCCTCCCCTTCATCCTTCCTATGAAGAGAGACAAAAGCCTAATTAGGCTCACTCAAGTTGAAAAGGATGCCACTGGTACAAGGGGAGAAAGAGGATCATATAATTTCCAGTTTGGCCATACTACTTAAACATGATCTAGTCTAATATCTCATCCAGGCATAGATTATTCTAAGACGAACTTTATTTGTTGAAGAAATATTGTGGATTAAGTGTTTAATGCATATATCTATTGGTTAAATGAGGCACACATATTTCATCAATAGGGAGCTCACTATTCATTTGTAATTGCACGGCTTTTAAAAATCAAGAATATTTTATATTTAAATATTTATTGGGATTATTGTAAACCAGGCCCTGTGCTAGGTACTTTGCATATAGCATCATTAATCCTGACAACAATTTAACAAGATATCTTTTATTAATCCTCAGGTTAAAGATAAAAAACCCCCCCAAAACTGAAGCTCAGAGAGAAGTGACTTGCCTAGCTATGAAGCAGGAATTGAAACCTGGGACTAGTATACAATGTCTGTGTTCTACCACCTCACAGACGTTTCATGTTTTAGAATGCACACCCCCAGTCGTCCAAATCATTCTCTCAGCATCCTATACACTCTTAGGGTATAGCAGAAAGGGTCTAGCCTTTTAAGACAGAAAGACATAGGTTGCCAGCAAGTCTCTATCACTTATTAGCTGCATGATCTTGGGCAAGTTACTTCCTCTGATTCTGATCCTGCATTTTCTCATAGGTACCTGCTAGCCCTCAATAAATGTTAGTGTTCTTCCTTTATTGCTTATCACACATTCTGTGTTATAGTAAGTAATGTGTACTTTATTTTAGCCCACTTAGTAAGGTGTTAAGTTTCTTAAATGCAGGAATGTTTTATTCATCTTCACCACTGTTCCAATTTGAAAATCCTTATTAGTAATAAAAATTGCCATTCACGGCACTACTGTAGTCATCCTGGTGAATGCCCAGTATATGATCAATAAATGTATGTTAAATAAATGAATGGTTTGCTGTGCATTCCCAATTAAGTTGTCAGCTTGAGAGCAGGAACCACCCCTTTAAAGTATAGAGTACTGCACGGAGCATCTATCTAGGTCAGAGTCTGGACCCGGTAGGTGCTACATTGTTTACTAAATAGAATGGTCCGATATGACTAACATACCACTAGGGACCGAGAAGGATGCAAAGATTCCATCACACAGTAAAAGACAATGTGGTGGTGGTGGATACTGGGACTTTTGCAAATAGTTAACGACCAATAAATATTTGTTAAATGACTGACTACTCGGCTTCCTGCCTCCCAGTTTTCCTGTCTTTTTACAACGCATTGATCCTAGTCCTGCTGCTGGGATCACACAGCTCTTATGTGTTTCCCTAGCTTCAGGATAGCTCTTCTGAGAATGACAATGACCATGTGGGTTTGAGACTTCGTTTTCTAGACCCAATACTCCCTTAACAGTTAATGACGTAACCCCTATGGATATTCCTGGATCGGGCATGACTCTCCTTAACGGAAAGGCAATATCCACTACCCGCCTCCTCTGTCGGGGTTCTGGGACTGGTTTCACCTGAGGGCTTGCGCCCAGTCGCTCTGAATCCTCAAAGGCGCCGCCATCTTGACCCCACCTCCACCAACCCGCCTCTTCCGCTCTTTCCCGGAAGTAGGGCGGAGGGCGGGATCTACAAAGAGAGACCACCAATGAAAATGCGCGGTGGGTCCCTTCCTTTCCCTCCCCCTTCCGCGCGCGTGCCCCTCACAGAGGCTAGTTCCTGGCAGTAGGATCGGAAGAGTTCCGACTGCCTCCAAAGTGGACGTGCTGGAACGCGCATTCGGGTCTTCTTGTCCGCCTGTTCGGTGAGCACTGCGTGCCTCGTCTTTGCACGGTGAAACGTAACGGGCACTACGTGAGCGCGCTTGCTGGTTGCACGGGCGCAGGTGCTCTCTCCTGAAGGTGGGAAAGGAGCTTTAGATGATTTGGCCGCTTGGGTTTCTCAGCTTTCCGGTCTTTTCCATTCCTTCCTGGTACAACCCTCCTCGAGATCCAGCTGCCGGCTATCTAGCTTGCCCTCATCTCCGAGCAAGGGTCTTTTTTTACTCCGAAGGAGACTGAAGCCGGGATATGGTGGAGAAGGGCGTACGGTAGCTTTTACTGAATCCTGTTGTACCCCATGCATTTGGCATTATTATGTCAATTCTTACAGTAATTTCGTGAGTTAAATATTACCTTAAGGAGGAAACTAAAAAAGATTGCAAGATAAGACGTGTGCTGGTATTCGAACCCGGATTTCTTGGCTTAGGATCCAAAGCACTTTTCTTGCCAGTGTGCTTTTTAAAGAGCTCACAGTGTATTTAGAAAGAGGAAACGTACAGTAATGAAACTATTATGAAGTAATTTGCTCAAGGCCACTCAAAATGTCAGTGACAAAGCTGGGTTTCCAACCAGTCTGTTTTCAAAGCTCCTTTACCCCCTCCTCAAGTTATACTACCTCCAAAGCAAATGAGTTTTATGTAGGGCTTTGGAGTGTTTAAATCCTTCTTGTGACTTCCTCTTGGCCCTCCAAATGCCTTAACATGGCTAACAAGGCCTTGCTATGATCAGATACTTTCTCATCTCACCAGTTTAATTTGTTAATTTGTTTAGTTTTCTCCTCATATCCTATTCTCCAGTCATACAGAACTTTCCATTCCCCTTATATTGTCCCAATCCCCGCTCCCCCCCCCCACCCCGTTTGTCTATTGACCAGGAATATTCTTCCTTTCCATCTCTAGTTAACTCCTGTTCACCCTTCAGGTGTCCGTTTAGTAATCACTTCCTCCAGGAAGCCTTCCCTGCCTATTTCTCCCCTTGTCTGGATTAGGTATCACTTCTCCACTGTGTTCCCAATATGAGCTATCTGTACACAATGTATAGTAAATTGGCTGTTTACTTGCCTAGATTGTAAACTATAAGGCAGGAACTTTATGTGTCCTGGTTGCTCCTGTATCCTCAACTCTAGCATAGTGCCTGGTACATGGTAAGTATTCAGTGATAATCTGCTGAATAAATCAGAGACACAGGAAAGGCATTAAGGAGTCCTCGCTCCTTTACAGCATGTTCATGATGAAATTTATACAAAGTCTGAGGTCCTTGCTCTTCAAACCTTTCGTAAGTTCCTTCTGTGTGCTACCTTCTGCTGGCTATTCTGAAGCAGATGATCTTGGGAAGACAGTCTGGGCAAATACACTTCACATGAATCTCTTGCCCCTGCATGCTGTATCCTATAGCCACACAACTCTCCATTCTACATTTCAAACCCTACCATATTTGGGTACTCTCCCAAGTGTTAAACTTTGTTCTTCTCAAGCCATAGAATAAGGCCAATAGAAGAAGAGATTAATTCTTTAGGGGGGTGAATCAGAGATAGCTTCTCCAGAAAGGTGACATTTCACCCAATTCAAATTCTATTAGCAGAACCCATTTGAGCTTATTTAGTGCTGTGCTAACCATTTTCACGTACTTTATTTCATTTCATTCATTTCAAACCATTTAGCAGGCCTGTTCTCTGCCAGGACTAGTACTGGGGGCACCAAGTTGAATCAGGCCCATTATCTGTCTGCAAATAGCTTACAGTCTCCAAAGGGAGACATATGCATAAATAGGCTATAACAGTGCAGCGGTCAGTGTTACTTATACTAGAGGAACTTCATATATAATCATGTCCCTACTCTAACCTTGCCTCCAACCTTGCCTCCATTGATGTTTAGGGACTCCCAAAGATGTCTACTCAAGGCCATACCTGGGCCCGACAGGTGAAGGAGGGTGAAGAAGAGGACCCACTGGACCAGATGATCTCCCGCTCTGGCTGTGCTGCTTCCCACTATGCAGTGCAGGAGTGTATGGCTAAGCACCAGGACTGGCGACAGTGCCAGCCACAGGTGCAGGCCTTCAGGGACTGTATGAGTGAACAGCAGGCAAGGCGTCGGGAGGAGCTACAGAGGAGGAAAGAGCAAGGCAGTGCCCACAGCTGAGACCCCAACCACTTACCTCAGAGGATGGCCTGAAGAAACCAGCACCCAGAGAGATCATGGGAGGAAGAAATCCTAAACTGGAACTGTGGGCCAAGAGGTATAAAACTTGGGGATAGTCTTTTGGGACTGAGGTTGAGAGCCAGGCAGCCATGGGTTTGGACATGACTGCCATAAAGAGCTGTTGTATTTTCATGGAGAGATCCCACACATCCTCACCCATCTTATTCCACAAATGTGAAATACTGATCAACATTTGCTATGTAAAACAAAGTGGGGTTGAGAGATGCTCTGTTACCCTACGTCTTGGGTCAGTGTGCCAAGTACTGAGCTGAATACATGGACATTGAATTTTAAAAGTATATTTACAATCTAAAGGTAAATTGGCTACCTAATCAGGTGTTCATTTATTCAGTCTTTGGTTCAACAACAAGTTTTGTGAGAACTCATGTTCTAGGCACTGTTGGAAGCTGATGTGATGAATAATATCTCTGTCTTCATATTGCTTAGTCTAGTTTGAGAGACAGAAATAAAACAACACTGGAACAACTAATTCCTGACAGTGATATAAATGACTTTATCTTTCACAAGTTGTTCTGAATGTTTCATTCAGTCTAATGGAAGGACGAAAGCAAATGGGAAAACAAACATGTGACTCTTCTATGCCAGAGTCTGACCTCAACACACTCCCAACCCAACAAACACACAGGTTTGACGTTTAAAAAGTACATGTAACATAAAATACAGGTTTTTCTGCTTTTAAAAAATAGAGAAGTTGTCGTCATGAACCTTTGATTCCTACTTGACAACAATTTGCTGGAGCTAAATAATGGTTTCTCTTTTAGGTGGTTGTGTTCTCTGGTTAATAGTAGTTGCCACCATTTCTCATTTTGTTTCCATGGAACTACGTTACCTATTCTATTACTTTCTGCCTCGCCCTGTAAGGCATTGGGAGTGGCAAGGGAGTTGGGGAGTGACTCCTGTCATTGAAGCTGGGAAGCAAAGGGACATTCATCATCAGTAATATTTCTCGAGTTGTGTGTGTGTGTGTGTGTGTGTGTGTGTGTGTGTGTGTATGAGAAGCATAAATCTAAAGTATAGTAGGCCCTAATACTACTATTGTGTTGGTAGTGGGGAGAAAAGAAAAAAGAGAGAAGAAGATAGAAGGAATATCAGTTTAAAGAACAATAAAATCCAATTTCAGCTTTCAAACAGAAGGGGATGACTGGGTGTATATATAAAGATGAATCTCTGCTCAGTGCTGTGGGTCATCAAAGGGATAGTGTGGACTAGAGCTTTCAGCAAGAATCTCAAAAGATGAAGTAGATTTTCCCATTTCTAACATAACAGGAAGGATTACCATCTGGAACAAAAAGTACCTAGAAATCCGAAAGAAAAAGCAAACTGCCCAGTTGAAAAGTGAACAAAGTTAAATATGCCCCCAAAACAGGAAAATGTAAATATATTGTACATGACTGACTGATAATAAGAGTAATGCAAATTTTAAAAACAGTATTATTAGGGCCGGCTGAGTGACTCAGTTGGTTAAGAGCTCGCTCAAGAGTTTGAGCTCTGAGCAACAGTGGTTCGAGTCCTGGCCCGAGCTAAGCACTGCTGAGCTGCCAACAGGTGAAGGATGGCTCAGCTAAAAATAAAAATAAAAATAAAATAAAAACAGTATTATTAGCCGATCCTCTTGACAAAAATCAGAAGTATTTATAATGACCAGTATTGGTGGGGATGGAAACAGACACACATTCACACTATTGAAGGGATCATAATTTAGTAAAGCTTTTGGAGGGCAATCTGGTGGGATCTATAAATATTTTAAATATTTAAATAGCATTTACTCTATTAGGAATCCTCTTAAATATCTCTTTACAAAATTATGTACTATTATGTTCATTGTAGCATTATTTATAATAGTGAATAAATGGTCACTGCATGACCATCATTCTATCAATAAGGACTATATTTGCTTACATATTCAAATCTTTTACAATAGAAACATCTATATATTAATTTGTGTAATTAAAATAGAAATAATAGGCCATGAGGTGGGGAGAGTCTAGCAGAGAGGATGGGTAGAAGAACCTCCTTAGCAGGGGGAATGACTTCCAAACCAGTGAAGTAGAGGGAGCAAGTTTTGGAGGGCCCCAGCCCTGAAGGAGCTGACATTGGGTAGGTAACAATGTATTTGGGTAAAGGATGCTCTGTTGCCACCCAAGCCTCTTTCCTTAAGTAAATGGGGATAATTCCTATTTAATAGGCACACTAAAAGAATTAAATAATATATGAGTAATAAAAATGGTTAGCATTTATTGAACTATTAACTAACTTTTATGGAGCATTTAACCTACGCTGTCTGGTTCCAGAGTCTGCTCTCAGTCCCTCTGATATGCTTTCAAATCCCACTATGCCACTTACTAGCTGGGTGATTTGGGGCAATTAACATCTCAAGATCTGCTTTTTCTTTTGTAAAAATAGTTATAATGCTTTCCTCGTAGACCTCACAACTAATAAATGTAGACCTTCTTCATAGGGTTGTTGAAAGAATGAGTTACTATTAGTACGGCAGGCCTTCAAATAGTGTCGTTTCATTCGATGTATTTTCGTTATAAAGAGATGCAGTAGGAATTTAACTTTTTTATATCAATTAGCCTATAGTCAAATTGGTTTTGTTATGTCATTTTGCTTGAAGTTGCAGAACCTGTCAATGACATTGAGGACTTACTGTAAAGAGCTTAGAAACAGTGCCTGGCACTTAATAAGCAGTCACTAAATGTTAGCTATTATCGTCATTATTGTGTGCTAGTCACTGTCCTGAGTTATATTATCTCATTTAATACTCATAACACTCCCATCAACTCACCTTTACAGAGGAGGAAGTAAAGGTCAGATTGAGGATCATCCTCCAAGTGTGTCTAAAGCCTATGCTGTTCTCTGCTCTGTGCTTTCACAAGCATCTGATGCCTATTACAGTGCTTAACACACAGTAAGTAACCATATTTACTATGTAAATATTACTTTACTGTTTTTTACTGCTTTACAAAAGGGAAATTAACCAGTGCAACTTGACCACGGTGTTCTAGATCGGCATGCTTATTTTTTAGTCTCAGCTCTGCAGCCCACAGCCATAAATGTGGTCTGTGCCTGTCCCTATACAATCTACACCTACCTCTGTGCCAGGGATGAGTGGAAAGACCTTTTGGCTAGGTGCCTGCCTTGGCTAGGCTTAGGGCAGGCTCATGATTTGGCTCTTCCCTGCAAGGTCCTTGGCTGAGGACTTGGCCTGTGTCCAGTGCAAAGGTGCACTGTAATGTGTTTTACTAGATAAGTAATGAGATACTCCTCACACTCTCCCTCCCTCAGGTAAAGTTGCCAGACTAAGTCCTGGGCTGCTCACTTTAAAAATCCAAAGAGAGCCAAAGCAAGTCCAGGTTGAAACCTTACACTTTCCCGTGTACTGAATGCAAGGGCTCTCTGCTCTGCTCCAGCAGAGACTTAAAGCAGGCAGAGGAAGTGGGAGGGATTCTTTCCTTCTATCTAGCAGCTATCTTCTGAAGAGTTTTCATTCTTTAGAGCCCGGGTATTCTGTTTAAATGGTGAGCTGATTCCCTAAACCTTGAAATGTGTGAGAATGAAAGTTATTCCAGGGGGAGTATAAGAACTAAATCAATCATTTCAGATTCTCCAGGGAGATCAAACATTGGAAGACAAAAAGAGCACAAAGAGATCAAAGTACAGATTAAACAAGCACAAGGCACATTGGCCGCCTCTGTCTGCAGTGCCTTTCTAGCATGTCTGGTTTTAGACATACATGCCCAATGCACGCTCAGAGAGCTTTCCCTCCTTAAATACACTTTCCATCCCAGAAACAGTGAGGACCGGGGTCTCTGAGCATTGCTACAGTGTCTGAATGGCCAAAATATCCAAATTCTATTTGTTTCTCTGCAACAAAAACATACCTTTTTGGAATCCACAGCGGCAATTTCCAGACTCTATCATGGGGGTGTTCACTGAACCACGAATTGACTGACCTGTTTAACTGGGTGACCTTGGACAAGTCTCTTTCCCTCCCAGGCCAGTTAACTCATCTGTAAAATGAAGGCCCAAACAGATTATTCCAAAGGTTATATATTGACAGAGCCAAAACTAGAACCCAGCTGTTCTGATTCCTAATCCTTTGACCTTCCCGCTGTTCTCCTTCCCATCCGTCGTGTTTTTACAGCAGTACTAGGCATAGTTTAACTTTAACTGAGTCAATCAACACTGAAAGTATGCTGAAGGAATGAACTGATACATGCAACAACACAGATACAACGCTTGGGTAAATGAGTGAAGGTAGATACAAAAGGCTACATACTGTATGATATTTACATACAGTACAGGATAGGCAAAGCTCATCTATGGCAATAGAAATGAGATTAGTGGTTGCTTCTGGGAAAAAAATGAAAGAATGATAAGGGAGCTTCCTAGAGTAATAGAAATGTTCTTTATCTTGATA